TGAATGGGGGGACGGGATGTGGAAAGATCCATCATCTCGGGCAAGCCACATCCCCTCCTCTTCTTTATGAAGGCACAGAACAAGCATTTAATAGGATGAGGGTCTGATGGGGGTCACTCTCGGTCCTCCTTCCGCTAAAGGCTCTAGGCTTCTACCTGGCATTAGTCGTGAGGCGCCCCCTCCCGGGTTCCCGAAGGCCTGCTGGGGCTGTGCTTTGCCACATCCCTCTGCCCTGTCTGCAAGTCCTCCCCTCCACAGTGAAGAGAGTTGCTCCAGCCAGCTCATTAGAACCTTGTTTTCTGGGCAGGCCATGGGCTGATGTGGCTCCTGCAAGACAGAGCTGGGCTCACTAGCTGGAAGGGGCTGGGCATGGTACAGCTCTGGCTGTGGCTCCCGAGTAGGGACATCCGGCCTCCCAGCCCTCGATAGTCAGGGATCCCAGCACCATGGGAGGGGACTGGAAGATGGAAAGGTTGCAAGACAGAGCTGGGCTCACTAGCTGGAAGGGGCTGGGCATGGTACAGCTCTGGCTGTGGCTCCCGAGTAGGGACATCCGCCCTCCCAGCCCTCGATAGTCAGGGATCCCAGCACCATGGGAGGGGACTGGAAGATGGAAAGGAGGGACATTTTCTCTGATGCTTCAGTCGTTTGTCATAAGCAGAAGGGCTGGGTGCTTTCTAGTCAAGAGTAGGTCATGCCTGTTTTCTGGAACCGGAAGGATGGAGAAAGAGGGGGCCCAAGTGTCCCTCACTGCTACCCTCTTGTTGGGTTGCAGGGCGGCTGTGGTGGCACACAGTGAAAGGTGTTGTTAGAATGTGCCCACGAGACATTGAGCTGGGACTGGCCTCTGTGCTCCCACATGCTACTCCTGCCCTCCCCCTTCAATGCTGTCCCACCCACACACCTCAGACTGGTGGCTGCACAGAACTAGGAAGCCCTCGTGGGCAGACAGGAGATGGACAGAGGTCATAGCATGAAGACAACACAGCATGACGGGCACATACAGACACTTGTGTTTGGTGGGGACGGGTCATGGCCCAAACCCCCAGGGCTGGGCTCCCAGGCTGGACTCAGCATTCCTTCATGGTCAGGATTGGTGCTGCTTGAGTGGCCTCCCACCCCACCCCTGGCAGATTTGAGGTCCCTGGGTGCACTCTATGAACAGAAGGCCAGCCATCTTTGGTCAAGAGGCCAGAAGAAGCACTTCTGAACCGAGCATAGACGGTGTTGGTGGTGGGACAAGTCATGACTCATGGGGAAAACAAGGCCACAGTGGGAAGACAAGAGGGATCACAGGCAGGGTGTGGGGTGGGCTGGGGTGAGGGGTAATGGAGAAATGTCACTCACCGGTGGCCCAGGCCTGCCGTCCAAACCTGAAGCTCCCTGGACGAAGGGCACAGTTTGACCAAAATGAGGGGAAGGGAGGAACGGGAGGGAGAAAAAGGGGACATGGGGAGGGAAGAGGTGAGTAAAGCAGTGACTCCGGACAGACATAAATGCTGGTAATCAAACACAATGGGAGAAATAAGCTCGGGAGGACAGGGAGTGGTATTTACACGGAAACCAACGAAAACATGGAGACACTGAACGCAGCGGCCGACTGCTGAGCAGGATGGCTGCCCTGTCCTCCACGCCCCTTGCTTCCCTCTCTCCTTTCATCCCCTCTCAGAAACCCCTCTTCCAAGGGGCTTCAGTGCTCTGGGGAAAGGGACACAGATGTCTGGAATCAGAGCCATGCTCCCTCCCCAACAGATTTCACTGGGGAGGGACATGCTTACGTGGAGGGTGGGCCCAGGTGAGCATGGTCTTCTCAGCCTCTTTTGCATACATGTTGAGACCAGGCCACCAGGGGCTCAGCCCTGAGTTAAAGCACCCAGTTTTGAAACCTGGTTAGAAGCTGGCTTCCTTCTACTTCAGCTGGTAAGAGCAGTTGGCTCCTGAATGATAATACCAATGATGCCTGACATTTCTCTGGCACTTTACAGTTTGCAAAGCTCAACACAAACTCAATCCATTCATATGCTCTCAGATAAGGGGTCTTTTACAGAAAAGGGCTTTGAAGGCATCTGACTGGGACAGAGGTCTAAGGCCACGTATCCCCTGGAGCAAACTGGAAGGCAGATGGGAAGATATTAAGATCCACTTGCTATCCAGCGTCCCTTGCTGTCCAGTGACTACCTATCACTTGCTGTCCAGTGATATATATGGTGGGAATGGGGCTCTTGCTCCAGTGCCGGGTTTTGAAGCTGCGTCTGAAACCCACTTAGGAAAACCAGGGGGAGATTTCTAATTATCCCAATGTGAAAAACCAGGGAGAAGGCAGCAGAGATATCTTAGCCCAGTAAAGACTGAGGTCTTGAAAACTGCTTCCAACTGAGCCTCAGCTTCAGAATTTTAAAGGTGGGGAAAAGTCCCTAGAAAAGGAAGGACAAGAGCTGCTTCCTTCTAGGGAAAGGGTGTTGGGTAGGAAGATTCTGCAGGGACCATTCTCAGTTTTAGGACCACATCTTTCTGGGACTGACCTTGACTCCCCAGGCTAGAGAGCGGTGCTTCTCTATCTGCACATTGGAATCTCTTGGGGCAATGTTAAATAATACAGATGCCTGGGTCCCACCCCAGCCCAATCTAATCAAAGTCTCCAAGAGTAGGGTGCAGGTAGTGGTATATTTGAAAAGCTCCCAGGTGATTCCAGAGTGCAGCCAGTGTTGAGAACCATTTCTGAAGGGCAAATAGAAGGAACTCAATGAGATATGCCTGGAAAAATGGGCTGCTACTCTGTAGAATGAAACATCCAGGCAAGGCCTAAAAACGAGTAGCTAAATATCCACCTACTTTGTCTGTGCAGGATTATTACTAAGTTGTGTTGAGAGGTCTGGAACAGAGAGCTTTCTTTTTTCTTAGGTGGGCCACTGATATATATTGTAAGGTTTGTGCTGTTGCAAATATTTTTGATCTTATGTTAGAAAATGGGGAGATTTCACATAAAATGCCAGATGTCCAGCTTCCTTTGAAAAATTGGAAGATCCAGAAATACTGGACCCTCTTCCTACAAAGCAACAGTCAGCTTAGCTGACAGAGAAGGGGCTGTTCCCTTGAGAAGGGATACATGGTCTCTAGTGTACCATAGTCCCCACCACTCTCTATTGTCTCCCTCAAGTCCGTGTTAGTTGCTTTCTATGAATATGCTTGTTCTATTGTTTTTTTAAGGTAGGAAAAGTATTTGTACCCATGCCTCTATCAAAAGTTGGACAATTAAAGCAAGACTAGGTACTTGGCCTTTCATCTGGCACTTTCTTTGTTTCTATTACTGTTTGGTCTCTGTGCCATTTGCATTTCAACCCCCTACTACATGAGGGTTTTTGGGGCCATGAAGGTGGACAAGGAGAGATTTGTGGTTGAGTAGGGGCAGGAGGGCTCTTTAATAGTAAGGAGAACTTAATCACTCTGGACACAGTGTAAGACATGGGAACATGATGCTAAAGTCATCACTTTTTCTGTAGTCTGTCAAGTGAATCAGCTTCTTAAATATTCCCACAACTGATGCATTAATGAGGGTGTAATTATATATTTTGTTTTTGCTGTTTGGTTGCTGTGGCTACATTAACCAGACCTTCAAGCTCTGCCAAGCTGGGGTAATTGGGCTTCCCATTGTTTCCTTGCTCTTTATGGCTACCTGGGGGTGGAAACTGGCCTTGAGCCCAGGAAAGAGGAAGCCTGAGTGGCTGAAGGAGCCCCTTTGCAAGGCCCTGGCATCAGTGGAGGAACAGTCTTTGGGTTGGCCACCAACTTCATATGTCACGCCAAGTGGCTCACTTTCTTCTTGGGGACCATCAGTAAAATGATGAGATGAATCATTAGTGTCCCTTACAGCTTTTGAAAAGAGAGTGCCAACCTCTTTTGAGGTGTGAGGGAGTACAGACCCAGGGCTCCAGGATGGGTGGTGGGATGTGCTCACCTGCACACAGGTGAGGTAGTGAAGAGGCCATCAGCCCCCCTGGGTCTTGGAACAAAGGGATTCACTCAGCCCAGCCCCCACATCTGAAAATGTGAATGCTTTCTGAGCAGCCCCCTGCCTCTGACCTGGGGCCTCCAGCCCTGGGAAGGCTGAGATCAGAGATCTCTAGGGACCCTTAGTGTGAGTGGCATTAGCCTACTGACACCCCAGAATCTGACTTTTTACAGGCTTTGCTGCTGTAGCCAGTGCTTAAGAGGAGAGAGCAGGGACTGTCTCGGGGGCCCTCTGGGAAAATAGAAGGGAGACAGAAAATCCCATTGTCCCACTGCTTCCAGTCCCTGCAAGCTTGGCCCCGTAAGGGCAGACTTTTATTGCCCCCAAATTGAGCACAAGTAGGGCCTGAGGCTGTTCTCAGGACACGGCTGGCTCTCCAGCTGGGCGCTCCTTGGGGTGGGGGGACCCTGTTTTATTCAGCTTCGCATTCCTCCCGCACCAAGGCCAGGGCTGGCTCAAAGGAGGCCCTCGGGAAGAGAATTAGAGCCTACGATCCTGTCCAGGTGGGAAAGCAGAACCACGCGGAGCTTGGGAATGCTCAGGACTTTAGAACCCGTGCTTTCCAGCAGGCTTCTCCCGGGTCCCTGCCCAGGAGGCCCTCGGGAAGAGAATTAGAGCCTACGATCCTGTCCAGGTGGGAAAGCAGAACCACGCGGAGCTCGGGAATGCTCAGGACTTTAGAACCCGTGCTTTCCAGCAGGCTTCTCCCGGGTCCCTGCCCAGCACCCAGCAGGACCACCCACTGGGCTCCTCACAACAGTCTTGCTGGGCCTGAGATACTTACGGGTAATCCCAGAGGACCTCGGTCTCCTTTTTCTCCCTGGGCGCCCTTTTCTCCTTTTGTTCCATCTAGTCCTGCTTCCCCCTGGAGGAGACGGAGACAGGAGGAGATGACGGATGGTCATGCCCCAGACAACTCATTCTGGCATTCTGGGGTCCTGGAGACTGGGGTGGGGTTCATAGAGGAGGGAGGAGATGGAGGTGGTTGGGCCAGGGGTGGCAGGCTGGGGACTCCAAGAATCCAAGAATTCATTCTTAGCCTGCCTCTGCTTCAGTTAGCACCCCCTGTGTCTCTGTAGTAACATTGAGGTCCCCGAAGGAAAAAGGAATACATGGAGTTGGGACAAACTCATAGGGCAGTTCCAGGTCAGGCTTGGCATGGGTGACCTTTTGCATGGAAGGAAAACTGGGATCTTGCAGAGATTTGCTGGTAGATGCCTGAAATGCCACTATTAGAGCTCTGAGGCTCACAGACTAGTTGGGAAAAGAAACTGCCCAAAGTCCCCAAATCCCCTGAAGAATGCCAGGGCAGGAGGTAAGAGCCATTGTCATGCCAGTGGCCTCCAGTCCCCTTATCCATCTGAAATGCCTGGGGGCAGACTGGAAGAGCCCCAACTAAGTCCAGTGGGCTTGGCCCTGGGGAGGGGTCCCACTCGATGTCTGTCTCCCACCTACACTTCAGGGTGAATGAAAGGTCTAGGACAGGCTAGATGGCAAAAAGATTTCACCATTTGCCAAGAATCTCACCTGTCACCTTGTGGGGTCAGTAGATGGATGGGAAAATTCTAATCCAAAGTATGCCAGGTGTCAGTGATGAATGTGAAAGGGCACTGGAGGACTTCATTCTGCTATAATCGTACCCCACTGGCCAGGGTGTCACATGGGGAAAAGGGTGCCATTTAGGGAAAAGCATCAGCTGGGCCTCTGAAGCACTTTCCTTCTTTCTGCTATCACGGGTGCAGCCCCCTCCCCCACCCCCTCACCCAGCACCTGTCACTTGACCTCTTCTTACCTTTGGTCCAGGAACACCTTGGAGCCCCTGCATTTGGAATCAAAACAAGATGTATCAGAGCTTCATTTCTAGTTAATTCAACTTCTTTGTCCACACATCGGACCACAGAAGAACAAGGATTTTGGGTGCAGAGTGTGGTCTAGGGGTCCCTGCCCATGCGAGGTAGAAGGAAGTGCTAAGGGAGGCTGACAGAAAATCTCTGTGTGACCCCACTGCTGACCCAGAATCTCATGAAGGGACGATTCAGAGATAACACAGCAAAAATAAAATAAGTTAGTATATGTAAAGTGCTTAGAATGGTGTCTGGCACATAGTAAGTTTCAGAAAATGTTGGCTACTATTATTACTACTACTCCTTCTACCAGTGATGATAGGTGACACACAGTGCCTTGGGACTGTGAACCCTGCAATGGCATGGGCCAGCATCTGTTGGTTGAGGGTGATGGGGGCCCTCTAGGTGCAGTGCAAAGGGGTCCCATGTTTACACTTCTGTACCCATGGAAAGGCCAGTCCAGTAGGACTTATTTTAAATGGGTCACGACTGTGAACCCTGCAATGGCATGGGCCAGCATCTGTTGGTTGAGGGTGACGGGGGCCCTCTAGGTGCAGTGCAAAGGGGTCCTATGTTTACACTTCTGTACCCATGGAAAGGCCAGTCCAGTAGGACTTATTTTAAATGGGTCACTTTCTCTTTTAATCCTGGTCTTCTTGCCAGCTGGTTAACAGGAAGGAGAGCAGGGAGGAGCAGATGTCTGATGGCAAAGGGTTAAGTAAATGTTGGGCAGAGCTTAGTGACACAGTGAGCCTGGGCTACCACTGCCAGTTTCCAGGGAACCAGGCAGTGCCCAGGCTCCTAGGTGTCACTGGGATGGTGTTGTTTAACATGAGAAGGAAGAGGAGCAGGGAGGGGTTGTGGACAAGAAAATCTCTCCATGGGGAGGAGGAGACGATAGGGACCTGAGGTTGAGCCCAGGGACTGCCGTGGGGAGGGGATGCTAGGGACACTACCACAGGGGACTGAAATGCTGATAAGCCCTCCGAACTTACCGGAGGTCCGGGAGGCCCCTCTAGCCCTGGTGGCCCAGGAACCTAGAACCAAAGGGGAGCCCTGTTACACTCAAAGTGGTCCTCTCTCCTGACATGGCCCAGGGTCCAGCTGGGGACTGCAAGGCCAGAGGAGGACAGGATTGCCCATCACACAGTCTCCCAAAAGAATGCTTAGAACAACAGGTCGGAAACTCACAGCAACCCAGGGGCCTGCACAATGTTGAAAAAAAATTGCCAGGAAATGTTCCTCAAACATCTATTTTTTCCTGATTATCTTGAAAAACCAGAAGATCTAACAGCACTAGGCTCTTGTCGGAGCATGGCGATGTCGCCTGCAGTGGGGTGAGAGCTCTCCCCTGTAGGTGGCGCACGAGAGCTTTGGTTTACTCCAGTCCTCACCACTCCCGCTTATCTACAGCCCAGGCTGCTTGCAGTCATTCTTGCATAGCTGGCCCTTGTAGGCATTTGAGTTTGAGACCCTTGGCTTGGAGGAGCAGAGATTGGGTGTCTGAAATGGGGGGAGAGTGAGATGTTTGTGCAGAATATTTCTCAAGTCTTCCCAGGTTTGCAAGGGACAGGATGTCGACGCTAGTCTCCGTTTCCTTCGAGGAGGGATTGTAGGAGAAGAGATTCAGACTGGACAGTGGAATGGAGGAACCCAGGGCCACCTTCTGCCCTGAGGAGGACGGTGTCCCCTGCAGATTCTGTCTTTGATGAAGATAGACATCGATTTGTCTGCAGTCGGCCACTGCCTGCTCCTGTCGGAGCTGGTCACCCACCTCAGTGTTAGGGGTCTCCTCGGATGTCTCACCCTCTCAGAGACAGAGTTCCCTGCAGTGTGGCCAGGGCAGTGACCTCTCTGCTTCGCTGCAACAGGAAAGCCCCATGCGCTGGGCAGATAGGTGGACCCCAGATGTCCCTTGGACCCTGTGGCCTTTTTAGCTCCATACTAGCCTCCTTGTAGGAAACGCAATCTTTGGAAACCCTACCTTCTTAAAAAAAAGTTAACTGCTTTTTTTTCTTATTATAAATAAGTAATACATGTATCCTGATTGTGGTAGTGGTTATACAAATCCACACATGTATTAACATTCACAGAACTGTACACACTCCCCTAAAAGTCAATTTTATCTGCATGATAATTTTAAAAATAAAAAA